TATATATATATATATATCAAAAAGATTTATATTTGTTGCATTTCCTTTCATTTCCAAATTAAGTATTAATACTGTTATATAGATGAATATTTAGTTATATTTGCGTTTTAATTCTAGTTAATGCTTTTGTATTTTTATGTGGTTTTGTCATTATTAGTATTTGATGTCTTTATTAATAGTGCTGTCAAACAATTAATCACGTGCAAAATAAAAGTTTTGTTTACATTATATATGTGTGCTGTGTATATTTATTATGGACAGTGTATATATAAATACATGCATGCATACATTTCAGAAAAATGTTTATTAAATATATTTGTAATATAAATATAGACATGTAAATATTTTCTAAATATATGCATGCATGTGTGTGTATTTGTATATAATAAATATATACAGTACACACTCATATATTATGCAAACAAAACTTATTTTGGATGCGATTAATCGTTTGACAGCACTATTCATTTTATTTATAGTTTTAGTTATTTTAGTATATCAAGTTAAACTAAATGAGAATGAGAAGTGTTGCTTTGGCAACTAGAATCTAAAATAAAGTTTCATTTTAGTTAGCATTTATTATTTTTATTTAACTGTAGTAACCGTGTTCACGTCTCAGAAACAGGCCGGGCTTGTTTAATATTGTGTGAGAAGTGAGCAGGCTTCCTCTGATGATGATGATGATGATGATCCTCACAGAAGCGGATCTTCCTGAACTCATCTCTGGCATTTCACTTGCTCTGCTGCTTCCTGACTGGTATATTAATGTCTGTGAGTTCATTCCCAGCATGCCGCGGGGCGGCGGGGGTCAGAGCGACATATGGTCACGACAGGAGAGAAGCTCCTTCAGGAGACACAGGCTCCAGATCAGTGTGTGACGAGACACAGCTGCTCATCTGAGCACACTCAGCACACCGGGGCTAGTTGTCACACGGGGAAGCAGTCACACAGTCTGTATCTCAGTTACACACACACTTGTTTCTTCTCCAACAGTGGTTGTGTATATTGGTTTTAAAGTTACACTCTCAGAAAAAAGGTACAAAAGCTGTCACTGGAGCAGTACCTTTTATAAGATACAAATATAGAGGCTTTAGGTACAAAGGTGTGCTTTTGAAATGGTACCGCTTGTACCTTTTTTCTGAGAGTATAGAGTATTTTATGAATATTTCTATCCTCCAAACTAACCGTGCAATATCCTCCTATTTTATTTATTGCTATCACTTATTTGATTTATTGATATATTTTTGTGAATCTGAGACACTGTTGTTATTGCCAACTAAAACTAAAAGTATTTCAAATCATTTTCAGTAATTGAAATAAAGCTGAAATAAAATCAAATATAAATATTGCATGAAAGACGATTCATTTTTTATTTTCAAAAAGTTGACTGAAAAATGTAATCTGTATATAGAAATATTTTTTAAAAATAAAAATGAAAAGCACATTACAAAATTATTAAACTTACACTGAAATTAAAATGAAAATGTATAAAAGATGGTTCAAAATATTACTAAATACTATCATTTTTTTCTGAAGTTGGAAATTATTGAAAAAGTCATTGGAGTAAGTTTTACAACACTTTTTCGTCTTCTAAATGTAATGTCTAATTTAATGCTACTTGCCATTTCTTTGTAATCATTTGTGAAATCTACTAGCAATTTCTGAGTGCTTTTCAAGACCTTTAAAAGTAAACGCACCCTGAGAAATACTGACTGGAGTAAAAGAGTGACAACTTGCCCCGGTGTCGCTCCCCTACATATATATTTAAATATAAGTATCATAAATCATCCGCTATTGATTTGTCACTAATAGAATTATGTTTTGTAAGCGACTGGTGAGCAGAGTTTGAATACACAGATGCCACAGGCAGATATCGACTGGCTTCTTCTAATGAGATTCAGTCATCTCTTGCAGAAAACTAATGAACGTGACCCGAGACGAGCTAATGTCAGAGCAGCTGAACAACACTGGCCTATAGTTTCCATATGGAGAGAACGTGAGATAAATGAACATTTATACGCACAGACAGGCCGTTAACGTTTATTTCTAGAACAGAATCGATCTGCATGTCGTCTCTCGCATCCATTTCACATTAATCAGACGATGCTGTAAGACTCTTCTGCATTAAGTGTGTTTTAAGGTTTGGCGGAAGCCAGATGACGAGTAAATAAAATGTTACTTATATCACATTTTTAAAATGAGGCTGGATTTCTGAGATGATGTGGATTAACCTTTGAGACTAAAACTAGACCAAAAGGTGCTCACTCGAGATCAGGTTTCTTCATCAGATTCTGAGAAATGTAGCATTGCATCAGTGTCTCACTGCAAGTGAATGGGTGCCGTCAGAACGAGAGTCCAAACAACTGATAAAAGCATCACAAGTAATCCACAGCACTCCAGTCCATCAGTGAACATCTGGAGAAGACAAAAGCTGAAACACATCCAGCATTAAGACGCTTTTAACTCAAATACATAGAGTCCATAATCCATAATAACTCTTCCTCCAGTGAGTCAGTGTTCTGGTGTGAATCGTTTGGCGGAAGCCAGATGACGAGTAAATAAAATGTTACTTATATCACATTTTTAAAATGAGGCTGGATTTCTGAGATGATGTGGATTATAACCTTTGAGACTAAAACTAGACCAAAAGGTGCTCACTCGAGATCAGGATGAGTTTGTTTCTTCATTAGATTCTGAGAAATGTAGCATTGCATCAGTGTCTCACTGCAAGTGAATGGGTGCTGTCAGAACGAGAGTCCAAACAACTGATAAAAGCATCACAATAATCACTCCAGTCCATCAGTTAACAACTTGTGAAGTGAAAATATTTGTTTATTAACATTTAGAAATTAAAATTTGTGAATTCTGGCTTAAACTAAAACCAGATACGTTCAATTTTTTTGCTGTTGATTAACAGTTGAACAGAATAAAATCAGATTAGTCCCTGAAGGTCGACTTCATCTGAAAGATTGAACTGTATTTTTCATAAATGTCAAATGGGGGTAAGTTGTCACATGTGTTTTACATGTTAATCACATTTCCTTTTAGCCAAAAACAATGTTATCCGTACCATTTAGCCTACATTTTACAGCTTTGTGAATTATTTAGTACTTTATGATGATGGCTAAACCCCAAAATTCGACTTTCAAAAATAGCATTTTTCATACATTAAGGTAGTTCAACGTGCTTTAGCAAAGAAAAGAAAAAAAAGAAATATAAAAGTCAACTTAAATAATTTAAGAACATAAAAATGAACAAGGAAAGAAAATTAAACTACAAATAGCCAATCCTGAAGGTGAGCACATTTCAACAGGGTTTCTTTCATTTTTGGGTCACTATTAATTTTAAACCCCACACTGATGGACTGTGAGTGAGGGAACCTTTAACATTTCCGTCATTTGATGAAAACGTTAGTGTAATAGCGTGTTTGTCCTGTGTGCTGTAAACATGTGGCATGTAACGAGCAGCTCTGTACAGCGCAGTAACCTTCTCTTCTCAAACCCCGCGGGTGTTCATTATCTGCTGCAGTTTTATCGCCCTTTTATTGCAGTAAACAGTCTGATTAGACTGGCTTCTGCTAATATATGACATTTGAGGATTGCTGTGCCCTCTGTTATATTAGAGTGTGTTATATAATACTAAACAATTTAGTCAAGGTCTGTGTTCTGAGTTATAAATGCTTGCATTTTCTATCAGTGGTTCAATATCGAACATTTAGAAATTAAAATTTGGGAATTCTGGCTTAAACTAAAACCAGATACGTTCAATTTTTTTGCTGTTGATTAACAGTTGAACAGAATAAAATCAGATTAGTCCCTGAAGGTCGACTTCATCTGAAAGATTGAACTGTATTTTTCATAAATGTCAAATGGGGGTAAGTTGTCACGTGGACCCTGCGCGTTCACGCTGTAGTTGCTCGCTAGTGGAGACACCGAGGGGCAGATAACTCTCCGTTTTTCCATGAATAACTGCCCCTTCAGCGCGACCGCCAGCTGACGCACTGCCTGCGCGAACCCACGCGGACGGAGGAGCGACGCGGCGCGATCGTGCGAGGTAACGTTACGTGTGTGTTATTCCTCATCCGTCCTCAGTCATCTCCTCCAGGCCGCGCGGCGCGTTGTTGTTGTTGTTGTTGTTGTCGAGTGTGTGTGTGTGTGTGTGTGTGTGTGTGTGAAAGCAGATCCAGGTACAGTAGTCAAGAACGGACAGCAGGAAGTCCAAGGGGCTCAAAACGCTGGTAAGAGACGCCTCAGATTTTCTCGTCGCCCCAGTTTAGTTTCGGGTGTCGCTCCGTGATTTGAGTCATACCTTGGTTTGCTTGTTTTCTTTCATGCTCATTTTCCGTTCAGATCATTTGTTTTGGTCTCAGTGGGCGTAGAGGAGACTAAAACCTTCATTTACCAAGGTTTTAGTAACTCTGTAATTGCATGTTTATCCTGTTAGCAGTGCATTGAATAGTACTTTATACTGTCCTCCTCAATCTTGATATCTAGGGTCCTCTGTCACATGATGTCTGTTGGCCGGATTTGACTTTGACAAACTTTGTATTATTATTATTATTGTTTCCCATTTGTTGATACAGACACGAGTTGAAAGTGTGATCGTGCATAGACACTCAAATGGAATCGAGATTGTGAAATAGGTCCTGCATGTTCATTAATGTATCGATTTACCTAGATATCTGTTGCTCTTGTTTACATGCACTGATGTTTATCAGTCCGAATGAATCCAATCTGTATTCAGATGTGAAAGAATGTATGTATATGTGTCTTTTTAAAAAAAAAAATTTTAGTTTCCGTTAACTATAATCCAGATTTAGGGTCTTCGCCACCCGTTTCAGTCAGTGAAGTGAAGGCTTTTCAGTCTGATAAGTAATGAATTGCTTGTAAAGACGTCTGTTTTTTTTGTTTTGGGCTGTATGTTATCTGTCATACATGACGGTGCATGTCGTCTCCATGTCTTGATTTCAGCTCACAGCTTCAATGTTTTTTGCTCTTGTAGGTTTAGCGTTTGATTTATTTGCATCCATTTTCACACACGTATGCCAGTAAGCATTTATTCTCAGCTCTCAGCACACAAGAGCAAAATGCTTCAGACGGGGTGAGTCAGACTGTCATTGCATGCTGATGAATAAAGATGCTTCGTCTGGAGTCACTGCAGCTCACACAATGACCATCAGTTACTAATATGTGCTTTCACTGTATGGCTTCATGATGGGCAAGACAGACAAATAGCATGCCTCAAGTTCATTATTGATTACTGACACAACATTTAATGCTTAATAAAAATAAAAATGAACACCCAGCTTTGCTCTTTTAATGCATGATGTGTTTTATTGACTGTCCTTAAGATGGCACTGTTGTGCTGGATTGAGCTCCTGCATGAGCTCTGGATTTCTAAACATTCATCATGATTATAGAAAGTTTCTCTTTGCTGTTCTTGCAGGAAGTAAGTAGGGCAGAGAATATAGATCTGTGAGCTGCAGCCGACGCAGATGTCCAGGGAATAGAGACATTTTTAAACACGTCTTCATTTATTTGTGAGCGGGGCCGTGCATGCTGCATGCGACGAGGCTGATGAGACAATGATTGACAGGTGTGAAGTACTAACCAGCACTGTTGTTCTCTTCCCGTCTGCTGTGTGTTTCTGCCCTGCGTCGTGTCTGTTTCCGCCCCGTGTCTCGCTTCAGACGACTAGATCTTCTGCTCGTGGCTGCGGCTGCGTCTCGATGCCTCTTCTTCTCCTCTCACTCACGCCGCTGAACATTCTGGAAAACCCATTCCTGACACCACCTTCAAAAGCCTGCAGCTTTATACCCTGCTTAAGGACTTGGGAGAAAACTCTGATTCCAAACCCTAGTGAGCTGCTGTCTGCATAGGCTGCTGCCTTCTAAGGGGCCGTTCACACAGGACATGCTCAGTTTTATTAAACCATTGCGACTAGCATTGAGTACAGTTTCACTTTTATCAATTCTGATTCTGCATGTAGAATCCGGTTCTTATTAAATCTCGGTTCAGATTAAAATATTTACAAAAATTAGCCTACCTTTTTATTCCTGGCACATTTAGGCTATAATCACTACTGCCAACTCAATATTTAACTAAATAACATTTATTTAACATTCAAGTAAATTCATAAATTCTTAACATTCAAGTAAATGCTACAGATATTGAATAATTGAATAAAAAAAAAACCTGCTGGGTTTTCACACTGTGAATTAAATAAACATTATTATTATTATTAAAGCTACAAAAGTTATTCAGTAATAAGCAATGAGTGATTTTCCAAATAGGAGCCGGTTCTCGATACCCAACTCTACCCGTGACATGTCTGGCTGATTTTAACACAGAAATCAGGTAAAGTGTTGGGTAAAATATGCATTTTTCTGATAATGTGTTACTCAAAATGCATAAAAACATGGAACACAAAAGTTGGGTAAAATTTTGGATAAAATATGCATTTTACTAATAATAAGATACTCAATTCACAAACACATGGGACACAAAAATTGGGTATAATATTGGGTAAAATGTGTTTTTCTAATAATGTGATACTCAAAACACAAACATATGGGACTGATAAATTGAGCAAAAGTTATACATTTTTAATTAAAGAGTTTTTATTAATACTCGTCCTTAATAAAAGTGTCTTAAAAGGCAGCAAAATCATGTCACCTGACTTTTTAGACCAGCCATTAATTCGAGAGCACACTATGATGCCTTAAAATGCTGACTATGTAGGCGGCTCACTAGGTTTTGGAACACTGTCTGGTTGTCAGACACACTCCAGCCTCTCATTTAAAGACATTTTTCCTCTTCCTCGTCGGCAAAGTCATCTCAGCCACACTTTACAGCAGCATCAGCGGCCGCGGGACGCTCCAAAAACCCCTCCGTAGGCTCATGGGAAACGGGATCTTTTGAGGGAACGGTAGCTCGGAGTGAGAGTTGATATATCTGGTGACGACAGACCGCGGATACACACACACACACACACACACGATCTGTTTACCCGTCTCACTGTCAGGCCTTTCTTCTTCCTCATGCACATTTCAGCAGTTAAAGTCAACATAAAATGACAATTAACCCCATTTACTTTGCACATTTCTAGTCTTATTGTGAATGTTTTATCAGAGCACATAAAAAAATAATTTTTCATATAAACTATTTGTTTAGTCTTAGGCTGCTGTAGTGTCAGTGAATTAATTAATGCAAGTTAATGTGATAAATGTGACCGCAATACTATCAAATAGAGAGTAGAGGGTTATTATAGTTAACTAAAACCTAAATACAAAAACATTTTTGTTACTAGAATAAAATAATATTGAAATAAATTTTTTTATATTTTATTTCAGGTAATGTTTATTTTTTATATAAACATTAGCTGAAATGAAATTTAAAAAAATATATTATTTTATTATTTCAGCTAGTTTGCTAGATTTCTTATTTTAATTAGTTTGAATCATATCTACTAAAATAACTGCATTTTAAATTCATAAAAACTATACAGACATAAAATAAAAAAGCACAAGAAAATTACTACAACTTAAACGTCGTTCTGATGGATGGTGTGTGTGTGTGAGAGTGGGTGTGAGAGTGTGTGTGGAGGTATTACTGAACGACTCCATCATCATCACATCGGTGCGGTGCTGTGAGATTTTTCATCAGAATCTGGTGTTATTATATATTCATAAAAGCTGTAGCATCTCTGTCTGTCTGTCGTTCTGTTTATCTAACAGTCCATCCATTAAACTGTCTCTCTGTCATTCTCTATCTATCTATCTATCTATCTATCTATCTATCTATCTATCTATCTATCTATCTATCTATCTATCTATCTATCTATCT